TAATATAACCTGATTCTAGAAGTTGATAACGTGATATCAATAAAGATTTCACTGCTTCAATTTACTTGTTGCAATCCTTAAAAACTTCAAGAAAAAAAAATGCACAATTTAATTTTTTCAATGCCCTTGCCCTATTTTTGAGAGAATAAATAGTTTAACGGGATGAAAAAAGAAAAGTAGACAAAACAAGTTTTATTACTTATAAGAAAGGAGAAGAAAACGAATATTGATTATTAGAATGAACATTTTCAACGGTCACCATCAATCACATGGCTAAATGATTCTCTTTCATTTTTAATAAAAATCTTATACCGTACATTTTTACTATACAATAGTCAATAGTAATATTTTGTTAAGAAAAAGTAACTATAAAAATTATATTATTAATTTAAAAAAATGGGGCCTCAAAAGCTGGGGGCCTAAAGCTTTGTTTAGGGGCTTGACCCTTGAGCCGGCCATATCTATCTATCTATATTTATACTATATTATAAGCACGAAGACCCTTAGCGAAATGTCGTTTGCCTTTTATACCCTTTAAAAATAGAGCTAAACTGGATAAAATAGTCATTTGATTATTTTTCGAATATTTAGAAATATTCATTTAATAAATTCCCTTACATTTAGGAGTTTGTATAATAATTCTTTTCCTTATTTGAACTGTATTAAATATTCTGACATTTAAAACTTTAAAATATTTAATATTTTACCTTATATAAATTTTACACTTAAATTATATATAAATAATAAATAAAATAATTAAAAGAGAGAATAAAAACATTAAAGAAAGAGGAAGTACGTTTGGCTTTGGATAATATGGAAGTTTCTTTAAATTTCTTGAAAACTTGTATATATATTCTGATTTCTATGAAACTCTTCTATATTAGAATACTTATAAATACATAGAAGACTATTCCACTAATAGTAGTATTCTATATAATATTAGTTTTCAAAGCTTTTAAATTAGTAATTACAATTATTCCACCAATTGGTACGAGCTACCTAATTAGTATTATTTAAATACTAATCTCACTTGAAAAATGATACTTCCAAACTAAATACACACTTCCCGTTCTAACTTCAGTCATTCTTTGAAATGCATTTTAAGTTAAATTATTTGACTGGTGATTGAGCATTTCCGTGGAGCAATTTTATTTTTTATTAGTTATATACGACCAACATTCATTATTTTCAAGAACTTATATTTTTATTTTATATCTCAAAGTACAAGATTTTTTATTGAGTTAGGTACACGCACAAAGCGTCGTACACTAAGAGTAATACTATATTATAAGTGTGAAGGCCTAAGTGTAATGTTAGTTTATTAAAATATCGTTTAAAGACTGAATGACCAAATTAGCCTTTATCTAAAAGTAAAATTACTTCTTTATAAAATCCCTACATACATTAAACTGAACTCTCTTCGGTATATTCAAAATAAAGAGCATTTGAAGAGTTGCATTTTCATATGGACTAAATTCATCTTGTTGTACGTGAATAGTCTCTCTTCATTAAAGTATTAATGATGCATTTAAAATAAGATAAACTTAAGAAGCGTTCTTGTCGCATGCTAATATTTTTTTTTTCCTGTTTCATCATTTCATGATAATATTTTTCTTGTATTCTTCCCAACGCATCGTAGATGGAAACGGAAGATATTATTGCTTAATTGAAATTTTGAGATGTGGAGCAAGTATCAGAGGCGGGGCCAGAATTTGAAATTTATGAGTTCGGAATTTTAAATTTTTTTACTGGGTTGGGCTGAACCCGTAGCTCCTATTCTCCCTCCGCCCCTGACAAGTATCATAACCTTATTGCGTTTCTTCTTCCTAAATTTGCTTTATACCATTCAAGATCAGAGCTTTACAATGACAGTTACATGCACAATACTTTTGGGATCTGGTCTACCGGTCCTTAGTATTTTATGTGAACTACTTAAGCCTGGGTCAAGAAAGCAACGAAGGAGATTGCTGAATAGCATCTGAATGTAACTGTGAAACATGTAGCAGTTTATCTTTTCTAAAAATATATATTTTATTTTATTTCACACTGGTAGTGTCTTTTTTAAAATGACACCTATTCACCCCTCAAATTTAGTTATTTTCATTCTTCCATGCAGTTCTTACACTATAAGAAAGTGTAGTGTTTATTTCTTTTTCAAGCATTTTAATTTTTTTGGGTTACTTTTTCAATAGGACGTATTTTCTGTTATTTGATGTGAATAATATAATATTTTCTTCAAAAGATTAAAACTTATTTGCTCGGTTCCTTGGTTTTGTTTATTTTTCTCATTCCGTTTGTTCTTTATTTATTTTTGTTTGTAATTACAGAGTATACCAGTTCTTTTTCTGTTCGAAATAGTTGAGTTGTTCTTAAAATTCTCATCTTTATTCATAAAACTATCTTTGTTTGTTGATTTGGTGCATGTCATTTTGTTTTTCATTTAAATAGTCGATATATGCACAAGAATAACATGTTTAGATAATATTGATGCGATTTTCTAAAAGAGATTTTTTCATACCTATACACTATTTGAAACTTTATTACCCTTAATGTCCATATTTAGTTAATAATTACCCGGCATAACCAAGTTTTGTTTACAAAATATATACAATCCACCTTAAAAGGCTCCCAAATCCATTATTTGTGCGTGAAATGTACTTTGGTTCTTAGTTCTTAATTTTCAGGTGAGTTTATTCCTAAGTTCAAAAGAAGCTTAAAATCTAGTTATAACTCATTCTGGATAATCCAAAAGTGCTACTCCATTCATTTTAGAAGCTTGATGAATGATGATTGAAGGATTCTATCACAATCTATGCTGCTTATAAGGTGTCTCAATATCTTTCTTGCCTGCTACTTTGTTTATCTCTGGAAGTAACTATCAAATAAAGGAAATACTGTCCATAATATAGCAAGATCACATGCATGCAAGATCGACAACCTCTTGTAATCCCACATGTCCATTACATGGAAATAGCAACTGATTTTATAAATAACCTAAACAATATACATTTATTGAGGAAAACAAAAACAATGGATAGTGCTCCAAGCACTTACAGTACTGTACGCCCAACCATGTTTCTCAGCAAATGCCTGTGCTGCTTCTACACTATCAAAACATAACCCTGCCTCACCTACATATTGTATATTTTGTATCTGATTTATACATAGTAAAAATAAATTTCATACAACTAATTATATATTATACAACTTATCTACAATTTTCATACGTTATTTCAACTCAGTTATACAACTACAATATCATACAACTTAAATATAATTTTTATAGAATGTTGTTCAACTTTCATACAATAATTAAATAAATAAAAGAAAAATATATAAACAACAGAATATAATTTTTCTACAATTTTACTACAATTTCGTAAATATAATGTATATCATGCCTTCTTCATCTTCGAGTTTCAATCTAAAATTCAGCCAAAGCCAAGTCTAAACTTCACCGAAACCCCTCAAAATTGAGATATAAACTCCAAACCATATTCCAAATTGTTTGCAACAACACCCAATCCAAACAAATAATGATTTTTAAAAACTCAAATTCGAATTCAAAGCTTTTTAATGGCTGTCAATGGTGGAATTGCTGCTCTCTTTTCCTTTGTTTTACATTACTGAAATTAGGGATTGAGAGATATAGAGAGACGTAGAGAGAATTCCCAATTCTTTGCAACAACATCCAATTCAAACAAATTCGAATTCAAAGCTTCAAAACTTTTTAATGGTTGTCAACGTTGGAATCGTGGATGGGTGCAAGATACGTGGGGAGGGGGGCGGGATGAGGAGAGAGAAACGTGGGGGAGTGGAAGATATGATAGAGTAATTTTAGGACACTAATTATTATCATTAATTCCCTTAAAATGTACATAAATGATAATTGGGTATATAAAATGTAGTTATAGTAAAACTTGAGTAGGGACGGTAATATAGTTTCATATAGTGTATAGGAATGTAAAAACTCCTTTCTAAAATCATGCTGAAAATTTCGGAATCCACGTGCCAAAGAATTAGTGTTTATATATATAGATGATTAATAAGAAGTCACATTTTTAAAAGATCGAAATCAACTCATATATATATATATATATATATAATACAAGGACTAAAAGTGATAAGAGTATAAATAATATAATCGACAGTGTAAACTTTTCTCTCGCGGTCGGTAACTCTATTACAGGTAAGTTTCCAAATAATTTATAAACTTTTGGTACTTAAATTATAAAAATGAGAAAATAGTAGTAGAAGGTTATTTGGACTCTATGTTTATTCTACGACCGTGTGTTTACATAAAATACAAAGGATTCGACGTTTTCTTCGTTTTATTTTCTTCAACACTATTGACAATGTCAATGTGCAGCATACACCATTAAAATTTAAAGCAATCACTGACTCTATATATCCACACTGTTGATTAATTTATGAGTAAAGAATTCCTTCTTAAACAGCTCAGCAGAATTTCTTCCGTCACACTTTTGGAATAAATTATCGAAGTTTGTGTCATACGAATGACGTCATTTTATTTACTTTTTGAAAAGAAGATTAGATTATAATTTCATTATCTAGTTGATATGAAAGTTTTGTTTTTCAGTAGTCATTAAAATTACATCCAAATCTTCTAGGGCAAATTGTCAAATGATGCCTAACGAACTAGAGGCAAATTAATAATAAAAATAAGAGAAATTTTGGTATTAGTCTAGTTTTGTCTTGTTCTTAGAGTTCTATTACTACGTGATGTTGCTTCTGTTAATATCTCGTTGTAAAACATGTAATGTTATTATTAGTCAGATGTGAACAACAGAGGGTTGGGATTGGCTCCAGTAAATTAAGGGGTTGGGGATTGGCTCCAGTAAATGGGACACGTGTTAACTACCCTATTGGAAAATACTGGAGCTTACTTTACTAGATCCAATCCCAACCCCACTATGATGAGTTTTTCCAGTTCAGAAATAATTTCGAGAATTTATCTGCACAAAATCTCTGATATGCAGTGGCAACAAAAAATTGACCATTTCTTGACTGTTTGTGCCATCCTTGCGCAAGAACCATAATCTTCTCTGTATCGTTCCAATTTATCATGTGTCCAAAAAAAGACAACCTCAAACATATGAATTACAATCATCTTGCAAGAGGATTGATAAAAAGTGCACGATAACTAGACCGAATGGCGACTTCACTATCAATTGGCATACTTGGCAATGATAAAATCACTTTGCGGAGGGAGGCTAGCATCCTCCCCACCCAATGTGATACTCTTAGTATTATCATCGGCTTCAAATTTCCTATACTCGAACAACATTTCGTGCATCTAATACTAAGAGAAAAGGGAAAAGAAAAGAATAATCTGAACTACATTTCCTAATTATGTAGCAACTTCATCAACTTCAGAATGGAACACAAAACTAGGAAAAGTAGTTGTAATATCCCTGCATATCAAAAACATAAATCTCATCAGAAGACAACATCAGCCAATGTATTCCTGATATATTAGTTGAAAAACTATGGTACCTTAGATAGGGAAGTGTCATTATCTTTAGTAATGAAGGATTTCGGCCAACGAAAATCTGCCATTCAGATTTGTCAATCTTTCCGTCCTGATTTGTGTCTGCCTCAACAAAAGTCTACATATAGAGGTAACAATCTATGGTTATTCAAAATTCCATCAGATCGATAAAAGTAAGAAAACAGTTCTCTGAATGATAACTGCCCTACTTTTAATCTTGAAGTTACCTATCTCTCGGTGACACAAAATGCATTGGTCTCTTAACCTCCGGACCTCTTCTTAGACAGAAGGATAAAGGTTTCTATGGCTATGTTTAGAACAGTGGAAGTTTAATTAGTCAGTTAGTAGATTACCTTATCGAGAATACTCTCTATAGTCTCATCAGCCAACTTCATCTCAGACTCACATAAAAGTGCAATCAACATTTGTTTAACCTGCCAAAAATTGCAGATAATTAAGAAACCTGCACACATATCACAATGGAAACAAAATTTTAATTGTGACATCGAGTAATCTTGGCATAACCCTTCATCAAACTTAGAAGGCACAAGTAAATAGACCAAAAACCTACTGCTTCCATGTCCCAAAAAAGCTGCAAAGAACTTTGAGGAGAAGGGGGAAAGTTACCAATTGTATTTAATGCGAACCAAAGCCACTCAATAAAGACAACAATTTAATGGCTGGAAATGCCTCAGTAAAGTCTTGAACAAAAGCTTCTTTTACCCTTTTTTGATAAGTGCCTCTTGGGCGAAGCTGTTATAACTTAAAATAAGACAGAAGCAACTGAGAAATAGACTAATAGTGAAGAGAAAATATTGAATGGTCTCCTATGCCAAGATACAAAAATTCATGTTGCCCTACGCACAATTATCTAAAAGCAAACATGTCTTCAAACTAGAATGCTCCTCTCACCTTTCCTGACCCAAAAGGAGATTAATAAATAATAGGAGAGCATATTGCAACAGTAAGCAGTTAGAAAAAGCCAATAAAATGAGAGAGGAAAAAAAAAGAGAAGAAGAACTATGCAACTTTCTACAAGTGAACATGTATTCAAACTAAAATGCTCTTCACGTTTTGCTCTATGCACCGGACGGGATCAGAGATAGGAGCTAGATGGAGGAATATCAAGGATGGACGTGTAACCCAATCCAATAGAAGTGTATAAGTAGGCCTTTCTATCAATCTATGCTTGTAAAGAGGAGTATAATAAATAAGAGAGCATATTGCAAGAGTAAACAGTTAGAAAAAGCAATGCTGAAAAACAGGAAGAACTGCTAAAAACATCACAGTAGATGATTACTGAGTTTTGTTTTCTTTCTGAGTTTCTGAGATTATGTGAGTTAAGAAGAGGACTAGGATTGGGAAGAAAACTTGCGTAGGAGGTGTGCTTCTCATTACCTAGAAGAGTTCGATAGTCTTAGAGTTTCTACTTTTGTCCTGAGAGCAGCAAGCAGTGCTTTGTAACTTCTTACTTGGTGATTAATGAAATATTTAATTACCAAAAAAGAAAACATCACAGTAGGTAACATCATTACTTCGCTTGTTTAATCCAGAATGAACAAGACACCACACCGAAGGCATACATATATCGGTGCAGACCGATCATCGCCTTAGTTTCAATAAACGCCCCACATTCGTTGGGGGAGTAGATTGTAGTCTTTTTGTTTTTGAATATGTAGTCTCGTTAAATGGTCTTTTTTTTGGGATATGCACTCTCTTTATATGGTCTTTAGCTAATAGCTAATTGTTTTAATTGAGTTAGATCCAAGGTCCATCTTTCTTAATATGGTATTGAGTTAGATCCAAGGTCCATCTTTCTTAATATGGTATTAGAGCAACCAAATTTCTTGTGGTTAAGTCTCATTGTCACCCATTATCAAAAAAAAAGTTCCAACTGCTTGCATATAAACAAGAATCAAGCCCCCACGTGGCACGTGAGAGGGCATATTGAAGACATAACTAGGCAGATAAAAATATACTCTCTTTAATTACTAAAGATTTTAGATGAGGCCGATCACATGGCTAACGTTTGAACAAGAGAAGATGAGGGTAACAACATAGTTGAACTTGAACATGATATCAGCGCCAGACTCATCCATGGTGTTACCCATAATGGGATCCCGTGTTAGGTTATCCATGCTCCATATGCTCAAAATTGTGCTAGTTAGAATTCAACATCATTTGAGGGTATGAGTTGTTGTATCTTTATATGGTCTTGGGGCAACTTCACTTGAGCTAACTTTTGGGTTGAGTTAGGCTGAAAGTCTATTTCTTCCTCATACTCATTTTTTGGTAGAAAAAGAACAATTTGAGCTGCAGTTAACCCTTTGTGCATGGTCATAAAGTATCTCAAAGTGATTATCCACTGTTAAAAAAGCAAAAGGTAATGAAGAATTTTCGGCCTTTTTAACTATCATCCGTGGAAAATTAGGGGACCGCTGATCATTCTTCCCAGACAGTAAGATGAAAGGGATCCTAATCGTGTCAATGGAAAGCACTACATTCAGTCACACGACGAAATTAGGCAACATAACAGACACAACTCCAACTCCAACTCCAACTCTTCAGCAAGTTAAACAATAACGAGATGCTTATAGATGCTTTTCCACATAGGAGAAAGAGAAAATATGTAAGAAAAGTATACCTCTTGCCTCTCAATGAACCCTGTGCCATCTAGATCATAAAGCTTAAATGAAACTGCAAGGCAGGGAAAAGTTGAGTTTCAATGAGACTATTTTTAAGCTAATAATGCAGTAAATCGAACAAGTCAAAGAACTATATGGTTACGTCATCTTCTCTATAACTTACAATTCATCTTCTCTTCTTGTGGGGCATTGGGGTGGAAGACATGAAGTCCCCTCACAAAATCACCAAAATCAATGAGCCCTTTTTGCTTCACATCAAAGAGATCAAAAATCTACGAGCAAAGAGTTCCAAAGGGAAATTAATATCCCAGAATTCAATAAAATTTAGTAGCTGTTCATGCAAAAAATATACATTAGCTCATCATGTTTTCAACTCTGCACATCCCATAATCACCAGAATTTGGGATACCACTGTAGGTATTCTTATATGCAGAATACATGTTTGCTTGAGAAACTGAAATATAGAATACTTAAAGTCCCTTAAAGAGATAATTAACCAGTACTATATCAAACAGAACTGGAGCAAATAATCAATGAAGTATCGTACCCGATTTGCGAAAAGGTTTTCTTTCTTTCTGTTCTTGAATAAAGCTAACTGAAATTCTTCCTGCACATTTAACATGATTTTTCCATAAGAAAAACTGAATTTTGATAGTAACAATTAAAAGTAATTATATAAAACAATTTCGGTAATAACGCAGTTATATTGTTCAAAGGAGAGATGCACTAGATTACATAACGTTGAATTTGCAATAAGTTAAAAGATTAGCGAACAAAACTAGGATATGATGCTTCAACCATGTTTCTGAGGAGATGGTCAAGGGTTGATCAGGGGCATTAAGAGCTTGGAGGTTCCAGGTTCTAATCCCACCTACAATACTGGATGCGAACCCACCTGGCTATAACCTTGGTGGGTAGAAATACCTTAGTAACATGTGGTTGTGTGCAAAACAGGATGTCTAGTCAATTAGCCGAGGCGTGCGCAAACTAGCCCAAACACTACCAATATAAATAAATGACGCTTCAGTCACTACTACCATGCATTTAATATTCTTTAACTTCCAAGGAGGACCCTTCCTCTTTTAAATAACAATGGTGTAATCCATCCGATACCTGCTACCTCTCACCACGGTAGGTACAACTTCCCAGGACCTTTAAGTATATATTATGATAGACCACACGAAACTCAATAACTAGGAAACGAATGTCGTTTTTTTAAGAAAATAAGTAAGTAATTACATAACAACGTGGTCACTAATTATACAATGAAATCACCTACAAAGAGTACAGATATTATGTAATGCTGAATTTGGTGAAAGACAGGAACAAAGCCCGAGTATGATGCTTCAACTATCTACTGCACTATGGTTTCAGTAAACACAACTTTTCAAGAACCTTAAGTATGGGATGTGATAGACCACACAAAACTAAATATCTAGGAATAAAAACTTTAGGGCATTGGATGGATTACACCAATGACAATAAAGAAAACAAGATTCCCCTTAGGGCATTGTCAAGAGAACTTTCTCAAAACTTTTCCTTCTAGAAATGCATGTTTTGGAATACACCATAAATAACAAATGCCTTTTCAAATTCTTGTCACAGGCTGAAATATTCTCCAAAACATACCCCTTTAAGTGAAAAAAAAGGAAACAGAAAAAGAGAACAACATAACAAGTTGATGATCAGAGACAGAGAGAACATATGCCTAGTTCTGCAAGTAATAACTCGTAAAACTCATCTGAAAGGATGCACCAGGAATCACAACCTTACACTAAAAGCAAACAAGAAAACATTTACCAGTTTAGCAGAATTACCTTGCTTATTAGCCCATCGTCAATTACCGAACTACTGATACTCTTGAACAGCTCAAACAATGCTTCTACTTCGCTAACACTAACTGCAAAAGCAGAAAAACAAGAGAAAGGTAGAACAAATAAGTAAAGGAATGTAGGAGATATAGGGTACTCGAACGGAATCCCAATTGGAGTGCTTGGAGAAAATATAAGCACCACAACCTTTTTCTTAAAAAAGTGTAAGTACTAAAACTGTTTTTCAGTCACATATGTGATAACTAAATAAAATCAGGATAAAGCTGAAACTACAACTGTCTAATGTTTTAGCTCTTCGACTTTAGGCAATTAAAACCAAAGATGGTAAGTGCAAAACCAACGAACCTAAGGATAAACCCAGCACCAAAAGATAATAAGCCTACTACCTTTTGGTTTTATTTCTTAGTACAACGCAGAAAGATCACGAGAAGTCCATGTTTCATTTATTTTTTTAACATGACATCTCATTCAAATTTTTCATCTTTCTAAATAGGTTTTCTGGAGCCTTCTCTACTTCATATATTTCCTCATCATCAATCTCACAAACTCATCCCACCTTGCACATTAATAAACCTCAAGCTATAGTCCCACCTCTTTAAGACAGGAGAAAGCCACAGTAACCTCCTTGTCAAATACAAGAAGCTAACAACAGACACTTATCTTCACGATTGCTCTGCTTGTTCATTACAAGAGCTTAATCACGTGACAAGTAATGTATCACATATTATGTACACACTTAAAGCATCAAATTAGTAACTTACAAGCTGTTTGGGACGCAAGGACTACAGGATCTTCGTGTCCACGTAACTTCTTTTTAACCTTAGAATGAAAGCAGCCCATTTACTGAAGAATGGTCGACTGAAGAGGAAGCACACGGACTAGACAAGCGCCTAGTAAGCAGCTTCACTACAATATATCATCAAAACCATCTTAACCTTGCAAATTACACAAACCAAATTCACAAAAACAATGTACAAAACAATTAGTATATTGGCTCACATAAATCAAATATGACTTATTTCGCGACAACAAAAGATGGAAATCAATCCCACAATTTCATTATCAGAAATCACTGAACTGTAACAAACTTTATGATACTATACAAACTCATAATTTTCTCTCTTCACCAACTTCATTTATATCTTGTAAACTTCCGAGCTTTAACAATAACTTATTTTTAAGCACTAAAATTAGTAATTAAAAAGTAATTTATTGTCCTAATTATCAATTAGCCCTACCCCGTAACAGAAATCACACCACCATCACCACCAAGAGAGTCACCAGACTACCCCCATTGAAATTTCTGGAATATCATTACTTAATATGAAAAAGAAAAAGATCAAAATTTTAACACGAAATTTTCAAAATTGATCAAAAAATCCAAAAGGGTCTTATATTTTAAAACTTTCTATTGTTTCTGCGCTCAAACCAATAAATATAACCTTAAATTTTGCAAGAAAAGAAAAAGAATGGAACCCTCAGAAATCCACATACCTAAAAGAACATTAATAACCCAACAAAAAAAAAAGATAAATATAAAAGAAAATGAAAAAGGGGGAATTTGGAAACATACCAATAAAAGGGATTGGCAGAGAAAAAGCTAAATCTTGGTAAGAGAAAAGAGGCAAGGCTTTTTCAAAGAGGTTTAGTGTAATACAGGATTAAATGTGTGTGTTTGTGTATATATACACACACATCTAGACCTGTAATTATGATCAACGGCTGTGATTTAAGAGGTGTTGTTAAAGAAGAAGAAGAAGAAGCTGAAACAGAGAGAGTTGTTGAGTTGGAAACGGCGAAGAGGAGGAGAACAGAAGAGGGACAAGAAAATAAACACGGTGGGGTACGTGATGTACACGCGCACCTAAAAGCTCGTGGAATCAAACTGATTTTCACGTGGACAATTTTGTCTGTCGCTTTATATATGGCAAATATTTAAAAAGAAAAATTACCCCTTCATTTAAATTTTGTAATTTAATTATTTTATACTTAATATTAATTATTTTGTTAAAAGTTTAACACATTTGAATTTGACTTTGGAAAATTATTACTTAACGAATTGGCGTTAAATTAGGTTCTCAAAGAATAAATCTGCCAATTTGGATTTTATTAGAAAAATAAATTTAAATAGATTTATAAATTGGAAGAATTTGTTTTGGGAAGAGATTGGACTTGACTTTTATTTTATTTTTTTAATCTATCTTCTTGAGAATTTCTATAACTCTAAACAATATAGACGTTTTATGTAATTAAAAATTATAAGAAAAAGGGATTAAACATATTTATTTTTAGTGAGCATGAAAAACAAGAAATAAAAGATTATTCAAGGTTGTCAATAGTCAATAAGCAAAAGGAATCCTGTTTTCTTCCTTTAAGAAAAAGCCAATTATAACTCTAGCCTAGAAGATTAGAAATTGGTTAGTTTTGATTTTAATTTTTCAAAACCATCTCTAATTCTCCGTGTTTGTTGAAACTCAAAAATAGATTTCAACCTGTTTTCTATGAAAGCTCCAAGTTTGACTTTTTTCAGTTGACTTGTCTTATACATATATTCCCAAAGAGAATGATTATTTTTAAATTTTTAGAAAATATTCTAACTTAAACTTCATATTTTACTTTTAACGTCAAAGTTTTATATATACAGTCAAACCTCTCTATAACAGTTTCGTTTATTCTGGATATTTTTTAATATTATAGCGAATTATTATTATAAAAAAATATATATTATAATAGAACATGAGATTCGGTTCCGGAAAAATTTGGCTTTTATAGAGAAGTGTTGTTATATAAGGATGTTGTTATAGAGATGTATATGAAGTATTATTGTCATACCTCCTTTTTTACACACCTACCCCGAAGGATAGTGTATAAGGGAGCTTTTTCATTTTAAGTGACATTATTCGAAATGAGATTATTTATTTATTCAGAGTCGCCACTTGGGATAGGTTTGGCTTTTGGTGTCCCAAGTCACCAGTTTATCTTGAATCCCAAATCGAGGAAATTTCGACTTCCCGGATGGAGTCTGCGAACCAGAAATTCTGAATAAGGAATTATGTTAACCCGAGGGAAGGTGTTAGGCACCCCCGGATTCCGTGGTTCTAGCACGGTCGCTTAAACTATTACAATTGGCCTATTATCTGATTTTAAATACATGTCATCCTATAGTGCAATTTTAAAATTATTTACCGCTTTTAAATAATTTTAAGGAAATTGAACGTCGTTTAAAATATGTTTTTGGATCACGTCACATGAAATGCACCCGGATCCTCAACACATTTTATTCAATATTTTGGGATTTGGATTTGGGTCACATGAAATGCACACCCGAATTTAGGAAGGTAAAATTATTAAAGAATGCCCCTAAAGTGACTAACGTGTTAATAACTTTGCGGGAGGCCATGAAAATTCGCTAAATGGCACGTCCCGAGTTCTAAATATTTTTAACGAAGTAATTAAACAGGGCCACGGAATTTGTGATTTTATTTGGCGCGGCACACCTCAAATTATTTTAAGGATCATCCTAAAATGAACTATTATTTTCTATTAATGATTATCTCTAAAGTCTAATTAATATTATTATTATGAATTAATTATCATTTAAGGCGTTCAAGCAAACTCGGGCCTCAAGATCAAGTCCAAACTCAAACAAGCGGGTCTTCATGATCGAAGACCACTTAATTCGAATTTGCTACTTGACTTGGAAGGCCCAAGTTCGTGCTATAAAATTAAACTAATGACTTTAAATGGGAATTAGGCCTTCAGTCTATTGGGCTTCGAAATTAGCCCATGAGTGAGGCAATTTTGACCAGTTCTATAAGGAGCTGCCCCCAAATGGGCTTCCGAGCAGGCCCAGCGAGAGGGCCACGAAATTGGGACTTAAGCCCAAACCGCATAAACCCACGACTTAATGAGTTAATTAGTTTAAAGGGGGCCTGGTGATGTTCTGGTAGTTATTGTATAACTGGGCCAAATTAAGCCCAATTCTTTGTGGCCCAACGGTCTGGGCATTAATCAAACCAGACTAAACTAGCTTTACTAATTTAACAATGATTCAAATTATAAACTAATATCAGGACTTAACTTCTGATGCACATAAAACATGAACTGGATTTTAAGAGGAAAACTAATGATGGACATTGAGATACAATTTCACATACAAATAGAATTGAAGCATTATATTCATGTGAACCTAATAAACTAATGGATCTCTCACAAGCAGATATGAAACTCATTAACTACTGATGTTGAAGGAAAATAGATCACCTGTAGCTATTAACGGCCTAAGCTTAATGAATTACAAGTTTTCAATTCCTTCAAATGATTTCAAATACTCAAGTCACAGGCTAAACCATAGCAGATTCTCAATTTAGAACTAATAGGCTAATAGATCTACTCAAATTCATATAAAGTCCTGCTTCAATTACAATAACCTATATGCTGTATACAGTAGTCTGTGTGCAAACAATAAAATGTCCAGTTTCAATTACAATGCTTCCAAAGGGAAAATGATAGCAATCATCATACAAATACAGGGAGTTATTGAATGGAACAGTAATTCCAGTGCACAAGCAGACATGTAAAACATAATAGATCTTCTAATCTTCTTATTTCCTTCTTCAAATCAGCATTTCCGCAGTACATAGGGGATTTTGAGAGGTGTGTACCTGGAAATGTGTTGAAAGTAAGAAGATGAAGGATCAACAGCAGTAAACAACAATTAACAGCAGCTCAACCCACTTTTAAACTGAGGGATTGGTAGCAAACAACCAGGAAGTGGTTTCAGATCAAAAGCAACAGCAAACACTTAATCAAGGCTTGAATGAGCAAACTGAAATTTGAAATAACTCCAAGGATTTCTGGAACTTCTACTACTGGAATTCAGAACCTCTCACACTTTAAGATTTCTTTTTTTTTCGGATTTGACTTTCGAATTTTCAGATTCTATGAACTTTGAATTTTTTTTGAATTTTTCAGACTTCTAACTCTCTCAAAACCTTTTTGAAATTTTCAGATCTGAAACCTCTCCAAAACTTTTAGAACTTTCTCAGATTTTCCCCTCTCAAAACTTTTCAGATTTTTTAAACCTCTAAACTTGTGAAACAAAACAAGGGGTATGCCTTTTTATAGGCAAAACTAGGGCATCATTCAGATTTTTATTTTACACCATAGGTCCCTCTTTTATTTTCAGATTTTTGACTATTTAGTCCTTTAGTTATTGGCTTGTTGGCCAAGTAACACTACTAAGCTCCTGAAATTCAAATTAGAACCCCTTTCTAGAAGGTTCTAGGGGGTTCTGTTTTAGTTACTGCACTACTCTTTCATTGAACTACCTAAATTACCCTTGAATTAATCCTAAATTACTAAACTATCCAGCCTTGTTAACCTTGGTCAAAATTGACCATGGTTAAACAAAACAAATGCTGGATTATTCAGCAATATCCAAACATTTCCTAAAATTGATTTAATCAATCTAAGTAATTCTAGTTAGAGCTGGAAATCAATTCTAATTAATACTATCTCCTAAAGCTAATTAAACAGTGAACTAACAAAATAATGAACGAACAAAAAGTCATTCAAACATGAAGCTTATAATGTAAAAATAGAAAACATGAATAAAGCCTAAAGAAAAATCAGCAGCAAACAAGGAATCAATCAAAAGCAAAAATTAAAATCATAATCATAATCCTAAAAGAAAATCAGTGGCAAACATAACATAACTGAAATTAAACACACAATCAAAAATAGGAGCAAAACTATACGATCAGAACCCTAATCAAAAAAATAAAAATAATAAAAAGAACAAAAAATAGAAGAACAATCATGATCAAAAGAAAATAGGAAAGAAAGTAAACAACATAAAATACCTCATAATTTTGACTCAGACTCGAATCTGGCGGGCTTTCTTGGAAATATTTGGACCATAATCGTCCTTAATTATGTGTTTTCATGAGAAAACACATAATTAAGGGCTATTATAGCCCAGACCTCATTAATCTCCAACTTTGTAAAATTAGGGTTCTGGGTGATTTTTCGATCTGAAATTCGAACACTTCAGGGATGATTCGAAAGAAAATAGTTAGGGGTTTGGGAAGAGGGAAGTGAGGAGACCCTAGGGTATGATTTTGGGGAGGTTTGGAGGTGGCGCCGCCGTGTACGGCTGAGGCGGCGACCACTGTTTTGGTTATTCGAGGTGTTTGAGGGGGATTTGAAAGAAAGTGTGGCCGGATTCGTGATGAGGAAGATGAGGAGGTGCTATGGTGTATTTTTGGGAGTCATCGGAGAATCGCCGCCGGCGGAGGCGATTTTCGGCCGGCGGCGGACGACGGAGGATGGTGGTTAACGGTGGTGTATCTAGGGGTGTGAGAGAGATGACCGGATGGGGGGTGGGGTGAGGTTTGGACATATATATATTAAAATGTTCCCACTTCTCGTTCGTTGGATCAAAATACCTAGACGGCTAGGATTGATTATAATCCAAACGACGTCGTTTTATGGGAGGGGTCTGGACCGAACATTTGGGCTGGATTGGGTTGGTTCAGGGGTGTTTCAGTTGGGCTAGCCACATGAATTTGAATAATGGCCCAAATACTTTAAACAAGCAACCTGCTTTTCTCTTTTTTATTAATTTCGTTTTTTCAATTAATTCCTTTCTATCTCTTTTTTTTTAATTTTTGTTTAATAAAAAATTAAAAATAAAGACCTGATTTAATTCTACAACTAAATTAATTAATTTCCCAAGAATTAATTCCTAATTTCGAACAAATTAAAACCAATTTGAGAATTAAAAGTAAAAAAATGCAAAAAGAACCATTTTTGTTATTTT